TAAAAAAAAAAACCGGAAAATGAATGTGGGTACTACGCATATGACCCAAAAACAAAAAAAAAACCCATCTTATGAAAACCTGCCATATCTTCACAACCCAAAACAGTACAAGTGAAGTTAAACGTGAAAACAATGATCATCTGTTTCTTTGATGTGAGAGGGATTGTGCACTCGGAATTTGTTCCTCTGGGTGAAATGGTCAACCAAAGTTTTTATCTGGCAATTTTGGAAGGTTGTGTCACGATTTGTGGAAGAAACATCCTGAGTTGTGGCAAACAGGTGACTGGTTCTTCCACCATGACAACACACCTGCACACACTGCACTGAGTGTTCAGCAGTTTTTGACCAAAAATGGCATGACCTTGTGTCCCACCCTCCCTATTCACCTGATCTCGCCCAGTGTGACTTTTTCTTGTTTCCCCAGATGAAAGGGAAATGTTTTGCCGATGTGGAGGAGGTGAAACAAAAAACGGCAGAAGCACTAAAAGGCATCAGAATCGACGAATTCAAAACCTGTTTTGAGCAGTGGAAAAAATGTCTCGATAGGTGTATTGCATCAAATGGAGAGTACTTTGAAGGTGCCTGAAGTTTGAACATGTAAAAATAAATACACTATTTTTTATAAATAAATTCCAGGTTTTTTTGGGTCCCCCCTTGTACTTATGAAATATCACTCATCTAGATTCTGTTAACTACTGCTCGCTCTTGCTCTCTCTCTCTCTCTCTTTAAGTCTCATTTGTTCAGCCAAGTTTTTTGCTGAATGAATCTTATTTCTTTTCCTGGAAATAAGTAAGTGTTACTAAGGCATTTAGATGTTTTGGTATAAATTGATTATAATATTGATTTTATTAATATAAGTATGCATTATTATAAAACATACTTTTTGCTTTATTATGCATGATTAAATTTTATAAATCAGAGTTTAGGAGACGTGGCTCAGAAATGTTTAAGTAAATAAATGACTGCTAGCATAACCATAGCATAAAATTATACATTCCTTTGTTTTTATGCTTCCCAGAAAGCCACACATTAATAGGAGCAGATAAGGCAGAGATTCTTATGTGTACAAAAGGGATTTCAAAAATAAGGAACGTGAATAATTCCATTTCTTTCTGTACTTTATTAATGCAGAAAACATGAAAAGATGGAATTGTAGTATTGTCCTTATTTTGATAATATCTTTTTAGTAAGCATGTACTACTTACCATCACAGCTAGGCAGTGCGTGGTTCCACTGATGGTTTCTTTCACACAGAAGTGGTTCATCATCACTCAGAGTATAACCTGGATCACAGCTAAATGTTACTGTAGATCGGATACTGAAATTATTACCATGCCGGTGGCCATTTACAGGAATTCCTGGGTCAAGGCAGGAATCTGATTCCAGTGTAACACCTGGACAGGGGACAGAAAACAATTCCAAACCAAATTAGACCAAAAAATCCCCAATACTCTTTGTTACTGTTATTTCCATAATCACTGCTTTAAAAAATAGGACCAAAAAAGCAATACTGATTAAGGAAGGGAATAAGTAAAAAATGAATATGAAGAAAATATATCTAACAGATGGCATCCTATTTTCCTGTTTTATTTCTTTAAGTTATCTCCTCTTATATTTGGATTTCATCTTCTGTATGTCTTATTTGTTGGGATAAGTAGACCTGATTTGTAGAAAACCCAGTAACATTTAACTAATAACACAGTGGGAGGCTGCAACATGATTGTTGCAGGATGAGGTTGGTCAGTCCATGTGTTGGACTTCCAACCTTATGGGTTGCAGTTTAATCAAAGAGGTCAAGATGAGAGTGAAGATGGGCCCTCCAACATGTTAATTCTGCTTTCTAATGCCAGACTATTGCTGTACAGCATCTGTTATTCACTATTTAATTGTGGCTTAAAATGCTGACCTAGTATATATCAAAGAGATTTGTTACACAGAAAAGAAGATGTTCATCTCTCCCAGCTTCAGCCATCAGACTATTCTATGGGTTGTTGGGCTAGGCTTCGAGAAGTGGTAAATGAAGTGGCCATGCTCTATATTAATTCCATCTCACTGAATATATGAACTGTATAGCAGTGCACTTGAATGCATACTGGTGCAGCTGATCACCCAAAAGAGAATAAGGAGACAGTAAGTGTACCATCCTCTCTGCTGTCTAACAGTTTCTTCTTCTGAGCTAGCCAGGGTGATCTCAGCTGATTATCCTTGGCTCCTTATCCTAGGGGATTTCAATGAGATTGTTCTACTCAGAGCAGCTTGGAATTTCATGTCCCTCATAACCACCCAGCTGACACTGGCCCTACAGACAGAGCAGGGTACATGAGGGATTTAGTTTCTATTCAGGTACAGCTGATTATCTGAATACGATCTATGTCCTGTGTGATTCTGTTGTCATAGACAAATCATTCCATGATCAGTTTTCAACTGATATCATGTATAAACATCTGCAGAGGTAGAGAAAAGGTTAAAATGGTTCAGCCCAAATGAATCTAAATAGTTTCCCGAATGCACTTAGGGTACTTCCTGTTGTGGGTTCTTTTTGATCCACAAATGATCAGATTGACCCATGCTTAATAAAGACATAAAGCACTGGAAATAGGGACAGTTAATTTGCTTTTTTTTTGGTATCTCCCTTCAGTAGCTGGGGAGACTTTTTTTTTCTTTTTCTATTTCCAGAGCTTCCAATTCTAGGCCTCCTCAGTAGTAATCTAAATCAATAAAGGTGTTTAAAATCTTCATTGATAAAACAACCAACACTTGCAACTATCATTTAATGAATTTTCATAGGATCCATCAGTTCCTTACACAGAGATAGCAAAGGAGCTGGTTCATGTCCTAATCATCTCATGTCCGGAATTTTGCAGCAATCTGCTAGTCAAATTACCCAATACCTCTCCCCATTCCCTGCCATGGATCCACAACAGTGCAGTTTTCACTGTTCTGAACAACCCCTATTTCCCTCTATTGCCAATCCCTATGCTGGTTGGATGTTTGCAAAAAGTACCCCCTTTACTTAGTAAATTTGCTTGAAGCTTTTGTCCCTGTATGCTGAACCCAATTATCTAATCATGACCAACTGGTACCTCCTAGTTACAGTGTTCATGAAAAGAAAAGGAAAAAAAAACAAAAACCTGCTGCTGCTGCTGCTGCTACTATATAATTGGCTTGGTTTACACATCAGAATTGTAATTGTAAATCAGAAGGTAAAAAGGAATCAAAGCAACCTCAGTGTACCAACTACATACATGAGTTGCAGGTTATGAGAGCTTTGAACATAAATAACACTGAAGAAAACTATTGTAAATGAAGATTTCCCATTCTAAATATTCATAAAGATGGAAATAGGACCACTACTCAATTGCACTGAAGCCACTACGTTTGTGACAAGGTGTTATATTCGTAGAAAATGTTTATGCTTTATTTATCTAAAATATTTGCATCCCAACTATACAGTTCAAAGTGGCTTACAAATAATAAAAATAATACATAGAACCATTAGATACATATTGTAAATATGCCCCATTCTCTTAACACATTTATTTAAGTGAGGAAAAAGATCAGACTTACTCTCATAATGAATTAAGAAACCAACACTAGAACGGCTATTGTCCGTGGTGAATAAAAGATACATATAATTGCCAGTACTAATAAGAAACTGTGGTGCTTGGGTACCATGATATTCTCCAATTAATGGGGATGAACCACTTGGTCCATCTCTGACTTCCAATGTATCATAATTCACTTCTGTTTGGAATCTGTAACAACAAAAATAAAGTATTTGGTAGAATTTGCAAAGTAGGTGGCATACAAATGTAATAATTAAATAAATCAGAATAATGATAAACACAATTCAGGATATGTTGGTAGAATCTCCAGCAATAATACTTCTGATGGGAAGTAGAAGTTACATGATTGATTTAGTCTTCATATGTTCCTTATGTTTTATAATGATTTCATACTGTACAGGAAAATACATGAACCACAATAGCTTGCAAACTACATCCATAGAAGAGGATGTGCTGGGGCATTTGCAGGGATCAAAAGCCATTTATGATCTCATGATACTCAGAAAACATTAAACATAATATTCAGATAAATAATCCACTTGTCTGATTTCATGTAAAGGAGATCTAGGGATCTTAATTCAGTGGTAAAACTCATATTTTGTGTTTGTAAAATCAAAATTAGGAAAGCTCATGATCAGTATCTGTAAGATCCAAAGTTCACACCACTATCACTTCCAGCCAAACAATCCCATATATAAAGACAGGCTGTGAAGGGCAACTAACCAGTAGTTGTTACCAGGCCTAGACTGACCAATACTCTATTTAATATACAACAGTTTCTAAAAAAGAGTGTACAAAGGACACAAGATATAGCTATTTTCATATAACTGGGATTTGGACATAAAGAACTCTGGAATCTTTGCCTACACTTGTACATGTTTTGTAGATTTTTAGCATTTATTAAACAGTGTTTAGGCCTTAAATAAAGAAAATTATTAATGTTATGATTACATTAATCAAAGCAACAAGTAAAAATGGAAAAATGAGTGAAGAGACATTCTGAGCTTTCCAGGGTTACACAAAACATCAGTTGCAAATTTGATACTAGAAGAACCATTTTCTCTTTTGTTCCAGTCATGTTTCCCACCTTCTTCCACTTTTTAGCATAATACTTCTAGATTCAAAAAAGGCTGAGCGTGAAATTATTTTCTAACTATTATTTCTGCATTGAATATACCCAGTTCTACTAAGTGGCTTGTCTATAGTTTTGACTGATGTGTAACCCAATCTAATTGTGCCTAAATATTGTAGATTCATCTGACAGCCTTTCAAACTAGAAAAATAGAAACCTTTTGTTGCTGTTTGTCTACTCAAGCCTTTTCCCCCTCCTGCTTACAAAGGTATCACTGATAGCATTCATGTAGAAACAAAACATTCTGGCTGCACAAGATCCTTAACCTTTTGGCTTCAGATATGAGAAAAGAGTTTGTGATGTTAAAGGAGTAACACATCCAAGAACTCCAGGAACTCTATCATGGAACTGATTTGTTTGATCTCAAAGGAGGATAGTGGCAAAAGGCCTTGTGTTCATATCTGATTTAGAAGAGTACTCCTGTTTGACCTGACTTACCAACATTCCCTTCCATACAATAAAGAGGCAGAAGCATAGCCATTTTCACTCCTTTGGACAAACATTCATTCTTTGTAAGGGGCCAGGAACAACCCGCTACATTTTGCATGACTTTTTTTTTTTTCATTCCTTTTAACATCTTTAGTAAATAATCTACCAAGGTGTACAAATTTATCTACTAGCTTTTGGGGGCATTTATGTAGTATTTGCAATTGTTCACTTCTTTTTTTCTGTCAAACACAATTGCCTTGGTCTTTGATAAATCAATTCTCGGAATCATACTCCATTACATCATATAATCTAACCTTTGCTGCAAACCAGCAAACCAGCAAAGCATGCATTCTTGTTTTATTCCCTGCCCATCGTTGAACTATTTGGTAAGCATTCCATTTGTTCTCATGAATGTTTACTTCCATGACATGCTGTTCCTAATCTATTGAACAAACAACCTTCATTTTCGTATTGGCACATTTTCCATAATTCAGATATATCCACATTTTCATATGCTTTCTCTAAGTCTAGAAATGTACAATATACTTTCTCACATTCACACATTTCTCAGTGAGTTGCTGAAGAGTAAAAATATGGTCTGCATGAAACTACTTCCAAAATTTTACTTACAGCTACCCCTTCTAACTTTCATCCAGAATTCTATCAAACTGCAAGTTCCAGGATTAACAATACACTTCTCAAAGGACCACTTGATAGTATTCCCTTAGGGGTAGGGTATTCTGTGGATTAGCTTCTCCACAAGAAAAATTACTTCATGTGAGAAGCTTACAATGGGTCTGATGAACGTGGTCACTACTGGTTTCAGTATGGGTGTTACTCACTACCTATACTGATGAATATTCAGGAAACAGTTCCTTTTAAAGAAAAAGAGAACTTTTACTTCTTTAGGGAAAATTTAACAAAAAGGATGCAAAATATTCCAAAAGGGTAAAATATTGAAATAATGCAAAGAATTGCTATAAGAAAACTTTGATACCATCTACCAGTATATGAATCCTAAGGCTTTGTTTCAAATCTATTCCCACACTAATATTCATCTCACCCAGATGAGCACAGCTAGGACAAGCAACCATTACGTTTCTGCAAGTGCCTCTCTCTCTTTCTGTGTCCCTCCTACAGTGTATGAATATCCCTGTGCAGGATTTTTGTGTGTGTGTGTGTCTTTTTCTGAGTTTAATTGACATGTGTAATTAGGAAGATCTGCATGCAGAGATAGTGTGTGTAGAATGCCTTCTGGTGGGGTGTTTACCCCTAGCAGCTCCTAAAGACTTTTATCTTATCTTAGGAGGCAGGTAGCTGCTCTAGGTTATAAACAGGCATGCTCCGAAACAATGCCAAGAAAAATGACATCTCACCTCTCGCTGATGTAACCAAGATGACTTATGAGTTGATCTTCTAATCTGCCTTGTATCTGACCCAACTAGAAAGGCCTAAAATTGACTTTTTCTAATATGTATAGTGACAAAATTTATTTCCAGGCAGGCTTTAACAAGCCAATCTCCCTGTACCTCTTGCATTTCCTCTAGCTACTTTTCCCTTTGTATATGGGAACAGTAACAACTTTCTTACAATTGTCAGGCACTGATGCAGTCTTTACATATATGTTAAACAAATTATACAGTCATTCCATAAGCAAGCCACACTCATATTTGAACACTTATCCACTTACATCATCTATATTTGTAGCTTTACCATTTTTCAACATTCTTGTAGTATTATGTCTTCCTTTCCATCATTTTTTTTCTTAGTGATATACATTCATAGCAGTTGTCCCAAATGGAACAAATCTACAATGTATTACTACCAGTTGTCTATGTATTACTATCATTACAATATAGATCTCTAAATAGTACTTCCAGGATTCCCTAACAGCAGTTTCATCCTAAATAATTTCATAATTTTTACAAGGTTTGAATGAAAGGCAATGCCTCCAAAAGCCACCAACAGATGGCAGTACTGACACACTAGAAGATCTAATCTGTTCCTTAGCGTCTGTTCTTTGACTTCAGTTGGGAAGTTGCTGTGAGAAAAGACTGAATTACTATTATTTGTGGAATAGAAGCCTGCAATGTACTTATCAGTGTGCTTTAAGTAGTGCACCTTGATTGAATTTTTGACTGCTGAATTTAATTTATCACCGAATACAGGTTGTTTATGGTTGACGTGAGAACTGTGCATTACTGGGCCAAAAAATGTAAAGAGGGTGAACCTGGAAAAGCTGATTTGTGTGGCCAAGAATGCTGTCCTCTGACAGCAGTGATAAAGTTTCACATAAGAAAAGTTGATGAACTGATTAAGGACACTCAGCAGATCACTCAAAGGGAAACTGTTCAAAGCTTGGCATATTGCAGGAATGTGTGAGTCACATTATTGATGTTCTTTAATATTAGTAGGTCTGTGCAAGATGGGTTCCTCACATGCTGATGACAGAGATGGAAGTTTCAAGAATTGAAATTTGCCAGCAATTATCATGCTATGAGAATGAAGATAAGGAATTTCTTCACAGCATTGTAATAGCCAATAAAACATGGGGTCATCATTATGACCCAAAAATGAAGCATCAGTCCGTGGAGTATCATCCCAAAGCTTAACCTGTGAAAAAAATTAAAAACCCAGGCTTTTGCAGGAAAATTCATGGTTATAGTTTTTTGGCAGTCATAGGGTGTTATTCACATGGATTTCCTTGAACCACTATCAACTTAGAGTGCTACATTCAAAACTTTGAGAGAACAGTTAAGCAGAATTTAGAAGCACAAGGAGGAGATTTTGCTGCAAAAATGACAATGCTAAGCCTCATTCCTCATGAGCCACTTAAGAAGCAATTGCAGTTAGATCTCACTGTCTTACCCTATCTACCGTCCAGAGTTGGTGTCACGTGACTTCCACCTATTCCAAAAATCGAAGTAATACCTTTATGGTCTTCTGTTTGACTCAAATGAAGAAGTGGAAAGAAGTAAATACGAGTGACAAAAGATCTCATTTTAAGGATTATTTTCCTATTTCATTTATTAAAATATCCCTATTTAAACTAAAGTTATGGAAGTGGGGACATCACCCTCATTTTTTTTATTCCATTCGCTCAGTTGGAGACTCCTTGTTAATCCTCTTTTCCATTCCATCAAAATTTCTGTGTTTTGTCTGCCTCTTTTAATTTTAACTATTCTTTGCTCTCTTTGACTATATCCTTTGCAACCACCTTTTCCTCTCTCTATAGAGTATACAATATCTTTCTGTCAGTTTAAGTTTTTTCACCATTCTTTTACATTATTTTTTTTTCTCTTTTAATCTATCATTCACCAAGTATCTTTTTGCATACTTCCTATTAGCATAACTCCACGCATTCTGCAGCACTTTGTAACACAATTATTTGAACTCTGTTCCAAGCAGCTTTTACATCCTCTTGTCTAATGTTCATTTTCCATTCATTGTGTTGGGAGATCAATCCATTTTCTAATGCATTTCCATATAGGAATCATATTTGCT